TTCCTTGTTCTGATAATCCATGAATTTTTCATGTCATTCCAGCAATGCTGGAATGACAGAAGTTTATTACTCGGTTAAAACGTATTTCTCCCCCCTTTCTTGTTTCCTAGATGATTGTTACGCATTAATTTTAATACACGTGGAGCTGGCTCGCTAGATTTATCATCTAACTTTCCCCCCGATGTACGTAAAAAATCTCTCTGTTTATTAAGTTCATTCGCCAATCCAACTCGATTCTTATCATAACCGTTAGTAGGCTTTTCTCTCACTTTTCCTTTATGCGCTGGGGCACTATAATCATCTGCGCTATATAAGTATAAGCATTCTAGAGCTTGTTGCTTAGTCATTTCACGCCTTTCAGCAGGCTTCAATCCACTCTCCACCCTTTTATTCTCCATCCACTTCAATATAGCCCCCCCATTCTTATTTTTCATCTGAGCTAAAACACGAGCAAATGGTTGTTCTATACCTTGCCCTTGCTTCAAAAGTAGTAGCTTTGCTTCTAATCCTTCCAGATCTGATATAGCTAAATTACTATCAGTAGCAGGGGATGAAAAGTGGGATTCTGACTGCTTAGTTTGAGAATTACTAGTACTAGGTGATTTCAATCCCATGTTCGGCTGTGTAAATTTTCCCTGCAACTCATGATTAAATTCCTTCCCTACGCTTCGATCTACTATACGCTTATGTTTAGCATTGTCAGTAGGAGATGAAAAGCCAGAATCTAATTCTTTAAATTTAGGATTTATACCCCTTAGAACACCCCTATTTCGAGATTTTTCTGCTGGCATCAAGTTATTATAATATTGCTTATATTTAATAAGTTTAGGTACATTAGAAGTACCTGGAGTATTTATACCTATATCAATAGATGTAGGAGGACTTGTATTCCCTGGATCAAGCCGCCCAGTAACTTTAGGAGTACTTCCCTTCTTTGAATTTACCTTAGCTTGAAATTCGCTTTCCGATGGCAATCTTGTCATCATGCTACCATCTACTACATTAAACGATTTGGCTTGCTCATCAAGCTGTGCAGTAAGAGTACTAATAACACCTGAACTTATATCTTCTGACCTATCTGAACCACTTTGAAAGTGCAAGTCTTCCAGCGGGTTATCGTATGCACTTGTAACAGATCCGCGTTGCACATCAAGCTGAGAAGGTGCTTTGTTTTTGTAAATCTGCTGACTACTTAATAAAGCATTTGATACTACTTCGCCTACTTCTTGCATACTCTCCCGTTCTATCTTTTGCTCCCTATTTCTTCCACTATTTATTGCGTTAAATAAAGATACACCGTTTATTGTTACGTATTTGTTCGCTTTCAACTGTTCATCAGTAAGACCATTTCTGCCTTCCACTATTAAACCATCTTTATCAACCACTACTATACTATCCTTACTTATATTGATTGTAATAGTGCATTTCCCGTCACCAACAATCCAGTCTAACGTCATTTCATATGAACCATCAGTGACAGTATAGTTTCTTACTCCATTCGGTGATAGGAAGCCATGCATTCCACCCTTATCATCATTATAAAATGTTGAAAATCCTGAAATTCCATTATTCTTACAAAAATTACCCTGTAAAAACTCACTTATTTTTACTTCTGCACCATCACTGCTCAACTTAATTTGTGCATAATTGCCGTATACAGCAACTTCGCGAATAATTGGTTTTCCATTGTTTATAATATACTTGCTAAGTTGTTCTTTAATTTGATTCGGTAAATTTGAAGATTTTTGAGCCTTATTTGTAACCCCATCAATTCCATTGTCTAAAATCTCTTCATTTATTAAGACAGTTATTAGATCATCAGGAGTCTTCTGATTATTGTTTTTTAACTCAAAACTAGCGCCACGTTCTACCAAAAATTTTATTTTCTCTTTTAGAGCTTCTATATCTTGAGCCATGTACTTACTTTTTGGCACTGTTTGCGCTTGACATAATAAATGCATTAAAGGAGTATTACCATTTTCATCTTGGTGATTAATGTCATCCATACCAGATTGCAACACAGCACTGATGATCCCTGTTACTTCGTTTATACTTTTACTATCTGTATCTTTACTACTTTTGCAAGTAACAGCATAGTGAAGCAGTGATTTAGATTTACCAGGGCTTTTTATAACTGCACCTTTCACCATTACCCACTCTCTAAACTTTTTAACGTCGCCTGAGTTTGCAATCCGAGACAATTCTGTGTCAAGACTTTCTACCTTTATTTTACTATAATTTCCCCAATACTGAGAAAAGGCACTGTAGTTTTTTGTATCCTTCATATATCCTATACTATAAATCACTTAATATAAGTATTATAGCATATGGTTAATTTTTTATTAGGCTCTATGTATAAGATTGATGCAAATTATCAAATAGACTTTTATGACGAGAAGGACTTGCAATCCCCAAGACCTGCCTGCATATGAATGGATACGCAACCAGTTCCTAATGCTAAACAGCACCATCATCCTTTGGTAGCATACACTGCAAAAGATTTTACAAATACTATAGTAACCCGCACTAAAACATACTATACTTTTTTTTTACTTTATTAAAAAACCCTTCGGGTTGCTGATTCAAATTTTCGCTTTCTTGCAATGCTTTTAACAGCTCAATTTGTTTTTTCGTTAAGTTTTTTGGATGCAAGGTTTCAACTATTACTTGTATATATAAATCGCCACGGGCATGTGAATTAATATACGGCATACCCTTTTCTCTACAGCGGAGTTTAGTACCAGTTTGAGTACCTTCCGGCACCTTTACTTTTATTTTTGCACCATCAATCGACTGTACTTCAATCTCACCACCAAGGGCTGCTAAAGTCATTCTCACTGGTATTTTACAGTATAAGTGAGCCATATCCCTAGTAAAAACTTTGTGTGGAGTTATTTTCACGCACACATATAAATTCCCGTTCTTACCCCCTCTTGCTCCAGCTTCTCCTTTGTCACTGACTTTTACTTTGGCGCCATCTTCTACACCTTTTGGAATTGAAACTGATATGTTCACTTCATCTCTTCTACGCCCATTGCCAGCACATTTTTTGCATTTATTATGTATTATTTTCCCCTCACCATAACACGTGTGACATGTTCTTTCTATAGTGAAAAAACCTTGTTGACTTCTCACTCTGCCACTACCTTGGCATGTGCTACATTGCACTGGTTTGATTGCCCCCTCACTTCCTACACCTTGACATAAATCACACCTCACATTCGTTACATAATGTACGGGAACTTGCATGCCTTGAAACGCATCCTCTAGAGTAATTTTCAGATCATAGCGCAAGTCTGCACCTGGGGTTCCTTGATTTTCTGTATTCCCTTTCGTACGAGGTCTATTACCAAAACCCCCACCAAAAAAATCATTAAATATATCACTAAAATCCCCCGCAGAACTAAAACCTTGATTAAAATCAAATCCACCATCAGCACCTGCATTTCCACAGTTATCATATCTAGCCCTTCTATTAGAATCCGATAAAACTTCATATGCAGCTGTTATTTCTTTAAACTTTTCTTCTGCTTCTTTGTTGCCGGGATTTCTATCAGGATGGTATTTCAATGCTAATTTTTTATACGATTTTTTTATTTCATCAACATTGGCGTTTTTATCAACACCAAGTAACTCATAGTAGTCTTTTTCCATATATAATACTTAGTACCTATTTTAAGAAATAAGAATAGGTATTTTATGTATTAATTTCAAGTGCTTAACTAATGCATTTATCATTAAACATGCGATAAGAAAAGCCCCTCCAGACTTCTACCCCCCCTCCGATATTAGCTTAATCATCAACTTTGTTTGTTAGAATTTAACTAGACCTCTTTCGAAATCGATTTATGACAAGGGGAAAAGTGTAAGCGAGCACCGCAGATACCTGGATGCATTTGAGGAGTTTAGCTCAGCTTCGACACTAAAATTGCTATTAGCTTCGAAAGAGTTCCAGTGAAGCTTCTTTGAGTAACCATAGGTCTTTGACATCAATGTCAGATTTATCTAAATTAGTTTTTTTTGCTTTGTTTTAGAGGTTAAGTTTGTGACGTTATATTAGATAAAA